GACTCAGCTTCTTGTGCCATTCCCAGCTGAGTTTTGAATCTCCTTTAGCTAAAAGACAGATTCCACCCTTTGCAGTAGACCAATCAACAACATAGATGTTTCTTTTTCTGGTAGCAGTCAGAACCACTTCCATAGTTGTCTCATGCTTGACAGAACAGCCTTCTTTGGAGAATTCAACTGTGTAGCCTTTATCACAGAATTGGCTAGCACTAAGCAGGTTGAATTTCAGGCTTTTGACATAAGAGACATCTTCAATGATTATCTGGTTTCTGATCAGCTTCCCTTTTCCTTTAGTTTGGCCATCTTTGTCATTACCACCAAAGGTAACTCTGGGCCCTTTAATTTTCTGGAACTCTGTAAGGCAACTCTTGTTACCTGTCATGTGCCTGAAGCATCCACTATCAATGTACCAATCTTGTTCAGAGATAGCTCCAGCACACAGTTCCTACAACAATTAAAAAGAAGATTTAGGTACCCAAGCAATGTTGGGTCCTAGGGGGTCATGTAGTCTTGGCAGCCGGTACCACTTTGGTCTCATCAAGTGAAACCTTGGTGGGTGGTACCCATTGTCCACCTGGTAGTCATAGTAAACGGAAGTGTGATTCACTTTGGGCAGATGCTTGTGAGGATCATGCTTCCGGTTTACATACTTCTGCATAGCCTTTTTGGTTGGGTAGAAGTCCCATATACTATCAAGAGCAGAGGAGTGGTTAGCTTTGGGCTTCTTAGGTTGACCAGCCAACCTTTTCTGCCTGAAGTTAACCTTCTTTTGATATTTGCCTCTCTGATGGTCATTTCTGGCACGGTTATCATGAGGTTGTCTGTCAATAAATGGTCTTTTATTTTTGTTATTCTGAAAATCCTTTCTGTTGTTAGGTTTTCTACCAGGTTCATTATTTTTCAAAAAGGGTTTCTGTTGAACCCTTATCTTCCCTTTTTCTGGTCTGACTTCCTCATGAACAACCTTGGTGCCAGATACACCAGCTTGGCAGATGGGGCTAGAGATCAGTGGCACTATGACCTTGTCTACCTTAGCAACTCTGGTGCTAGGCATTACAGAAGGCTCACCTGATTCTGTTGAGCCATAACCAAGACCAAAACCAGCGCCAATTTGTTGATCAGAAGGCTTACCTTTTAGGATTTGTTTTATACTTAATCTCAAGAGGCTCTATCTCCCTTATTCTCTTTAGAAGAGAAACATTTTCAGCTTCTAGCTGATCTCTCTCCTTAATGAGAAGATTGATTTTGATCTCAACCTCCTTTCTTAAGTCAAGGATTTCAACCTTAAGCTTACTGTTTTCTTCTTTAACAGAGGAATAAGTGGCTTGGATGGCTTGAAACTCTTCCCAAAATTCTGACATTGAATCAGAATCAAAGGCTTTGCCTACCGAAGAAAAACTAGAGTTAGAAGTAGAGTATACCTCATCATCAGATTGACCCATAAGGCATAGGTCTTCAGTCTCTATATCCAAGCAACAGAATGCCTCATCAGATTCTGATTCTGAGCTGGACTCTGTCTCAGAGAGGGGGTCCTTCTCTTGTTGTTCAGTGATGAGTGCCTTCCTTCTTCTGTGCTCATACTTCTTATCTCCTTCCTGGCCTTGCCTTTTGGAGACTATAGGATGTGGACAGTTGACTTTGAAGTGACCTGGTTGTCTGCAGTTGTAGCAGAGAAGCTCTCCACTACTTTCTGATGCTTTGGGTTTCTGGTGCGGCTTTCTGCTTGAGGATGGACTTCTGCTGTCCTTTGGCTTCAAGAATTTCCTGAACTTTCTGGCAAATGCAGCCATATATCCGTCAGTTAAAAGAATAGAAGGGTCAAAGTTATTTACCTGAGATGTGCTGGCTGTGAGGGCAGCAGTTGTTCTGTCCTCAACTTCTTCTTTTTCTTCTTCATTCATCTCGAACTCATAAAATTTGAGATCAGAGATGAGCTTCTCTGTGCTGTAGGTTCTGAGATCTTTGCTATCTTTCATGGCAGTGACCTTCATCTTCCAGGGTGAAGGTAAGCCTCTGAGAACCTTCAGATTGATCTCCTTGGGAGTGAGCTCCTTCCCAAGTTCTGATATCTCAGCAGTGAGTGTGAGTAGTCGTGCATACATCTCAGCTATGGACTCTTTGGGTAGAAGTTTGAAGTCTTCAAACTTCTTCATGGCAATGGTCAGTTTGTTGTCTTTTTCCTGCTCATCACCAGCTCCTATCAGGGTGAGTGTATCCCAGATTTCCTTGGCAGAGGTGCACTTCTTGATTCTTGTGAAGTATTTGTCGTCTATGGATTTGTAGAGGATGTCCTTGGCAATGTTATCAAGGTTGTATTTCCTCCTTTCTTCATTGGACCACTCATGCCGTAGTTTGGTGATCATCTGAGGTAGACCACCACTAGCAATGTATTCAGGATTGATCTTGGTAAACTCTGTGAAAGGACCAGCATCAAGGACTTCCCACATTTCATCATGGAGTGCGCAGAGGTGGGCTTTCATGCGAATCCTCCAGTCATCAAACTTTATCACTGAGAACATAACATTATTTGAAAGAGTGTTATCCATAATATGAGCTTAAAGAGGCTAAAACAAGTGGATCTCTTGTTTAGTAAGTAACCTAAAAGATTACAAGAACAAGGAGGCTCTGATACCACTTGTTGGTACCGTTTGTAATGGGAACAGTCTAGGGGGGGTGAATAGACTGTTCAGGAATTTAAACTTTTCTCTAAGTCAAAACTGACTTATCAGAGATGGTCGAAATCTGGTGACAGAGAAGGTCAAGTTCTGATGGCAGAACTGGACCTGGCAGCGGATTAGATTCTGTCCGGGTAGCCTCAGACAACACTAAAGCAAATGCCTTTCCGATAACTCTTGAGGAAGATCTGCTGAACACAGAGTCCAACCTTTTGAGTTATGCAGTCAAGTTCTTAAGTGCAGAAATGAAATAAGTAAAGTAAGTGACACCGGGGATTTTTATAGTGGTTCAAGGAACAACTTGTTCCTCTAGTCCACTGTTCCACTAAGCTTGCAAAAACAACAGTTTACAACGCCTTAGTCCCTAGAACTTAAGAAGCTCTCCACGTCTTCTTCAAGCCTAGTTGCCACCCGGGATGCAGTCCTGCTTCCTGATGGCTGGTCTCGTTTCACTGAGTCTCTTGGAAGTATCACCACTTCACTTACTCCAGTTAATTTGAGACGCCCCTTCTTTTTCAAGAAGTGTTTGAATCAAGATCAGTTTTCTCCAACGTTGCTTCTTCACAAAGGATGTGTAGATGAAGTTTTCGAAGTGTTGAAGAACTGAGGAACTTTGCAACTTGCTAGTTGGATGAGGGATAAGAAAGTATATCTTCCAACTTGAGCTTTTCTTGTTGAGGTAAGTAAGTCTTCGATCTCAAGAAAGCTTGGAGGTATATGATTTAGAGTAGAATGATCTGAGCAAGTTCGTCTGGCAAACGTTGTAGCAAAGTTATCCTAGTAGTTCTTCAGAGTGTATCTTATATACTGGGAGCAGTCTTCCCGTTGGAGTGTAGAAGACAACTTCATTAAATGCTTGTACTGTTGACTTGACTGGTTGGACCTTCGACTTGCTATTTTGGGGGCGCGAAGATACTCGCATGGTCAATCATCAGCTTTAAATATATCTTCGTACGTACAACATTAATTGAGCATTTAATGCGTGTACAGTACCATGTTCCCGTTGAAAGGTTCGTAACCGTTAGGGGATTTCCCGTTAGTTTAACGACCATTGGTAAGTGCCTTCGAGTTCTGCAAGGTGCGAGCTTGTCTGATGAGGTTTTCTGATCAGAACTCTGATGGCAGCTTCTGATGCCAACACTGGTATCCAACTCTGATGGCTTCTCTGGAGAGCAACTCTGGGAGCAACTCTGGTAGAAGTTCTGATAAGGAAGACCAAGAGGGTTTCCGGCATGTCGACTATTCTAGTACATACAAAGACAAATTCTAATACAAAATTTCTATTGGGGTACTTTCAAATACTAATCAACCTAGCATCATCAAAATCTAATTACATTTATTCCTTACAGACCTCTTAGGAGAGAAAAAAAGAACAAAATCCTACCATTGAGATAGACCGATCGTGTGGCTTATATTAAGGTTTGGGATTTTAAAAACAGCACGACGCTTCTCACGTGTCAGGCTTTAATGATGAAAGGGCATTTAAGACAAAGAACATAGGGTGGCGGTTTGGCAGGTTTAGTAAATGGAAAGAAAATCCCGGTAATCGTGCGAGAGAAAATCGAGCTTTTCTCTTCCACCTTGAATCTAAAAAATGCATTTTGGACGCCAAATCAGTGCACATATAACAATTGGGCTAAAGTGTGTTTGTATTTGGTTGATGTGCATGTTGTTATGTAATATATGTAAAGGTCATGTCTTAAAAAGAATGTGTGCTTGGGTTATAAAGTGACTATGAGGTTGTGCACTTAGTATGTAATATTATGATAGTACTTGGGCTAAAAAGTGAGTTTGAGGTTGTCTTTTGGTAATATTAAAGAGGTTGTCTTCTGGTAATATTATGATAGTACTTGGGCTATAAAGTGAGTTTGAGGATGTGTTATGTTTTGAAACAGAGTGCATTATGTATATGAATAAAATGCACTTAGAAAGAATGTGTAATTTGGCTACAAATTGAGTGTGAGGTTGTGCACTTAGTATGTAATATTATGATTGTGAGTTGTTAAAACAGTTTTTTTAGTTTGTGTTTTGAGATATTGTTCCTTGATTCTAAAAAATGCATTTTGGAAGCCAAATCAGTGCACATATATCAATTGGGCTAAAGTGAGTCAAGTGCATTTACTTATGATATAAAGTGAGTTTGATGCTGTGATAAAGTTTAGTTGTAATTGGATCAAGATGCAGTATATATAAAAAGTGATAAAGTTTATGGTGCAGTATTAATTGTTTGAAGTGCATGTACTTAGAAAACAAAGTTATTTGGTAAATGCATAGCAATGTTATAGTGCTTCCCCTTATGCAATAAAGTGGAATTACACAATACAGATTCGAGTGAAGCAAGATTGCAGCTTGTGAGGAATGATAAAGGGAAAAGAGCAACACCACCAACAACAAATGAAAACTACCAAGGTGGTAGAGTGAAGAGACTGAAAAAACAAACACAAGGGCAAGAGAGTGATGACGACTTTGAGATACAACCATGCCAAGGTGGTGGTGGAAATGAGGTTGTGAAGAAAATGGGAAAGCAAAATATTAAGGAAAGCATCAAAGATGTGAAGTCAAAGTATTTGACAATACGTACAAGGTCTTCACCTAATTTGCTTGTTAAAGCAATGGGTAGGATGACTGATGCTCAGAAGCAAGCTGTAAAGAACATTGGTTTTGGTTCATTGTTTGAAATGCAAGTTTCTGAAATACCAGGCAGGATGGGGTTTTGGGTGGTTGATAACTTCAATGCTAAAAAATGCTCATTAGTGCTACATGATGGAAAAGAGATGCAAATAATGGAGGAAGATGTTACTCGAGTATTAGGTTTCCCGTTAGGGGGGACAGAAAATTGTGGCAACGAAGAGAAATGAAGAGAGTGCACTACTTCTTGCATGGAAAGCAATGTTTCCAAAAGAGGAGTCAAAAATTAGCCCGACAGATGTTAGTGCAGCAATGCTTGACATGAAAGATGGAGGTGATTGGTTCAAGAGGAACTTCATTATTCTTATGGTATCACTACTGCTTGAGAGCACTCAGAATGGGTATGTTAATCCAATGATTATGAATCATTTGGAAGATGTTGACAAGATAAAAGATTTTGATTGGTGTGACCATGTGCTGAATTGTTTACTTGATAGTAAAGTGTCATGGGAGAAGAAGAAAAAAAAAGCTTTTACGGGCCCTTTGCTGTTTTTAATGGTAAGTTCAAATGTAATGTGCTTATTTTAATTATAGTTATATTATTTTAATAGCATCTTAAGTGTAATAACAATTATTGGTGTTGCAGTTGTTGTATGTTGACAGAGTGGTGGTGTACAGAAGAAAGGTGGATAGAAGTTTACCTATCATGAAACTGTGGAATGGGAAACTTCTTCGGGAGAGAGAACTGATGGAAATAGAAAGTGGGGGTTTTGGGATGGGTCGCTGCGAAGGACCATTCATTTCGGAACAATGTATACAGAAGGACAAACCACATGGGGAAGGAGGAAGTGCAGACAGAGTTGAGGTGCAATATACTGATGGTGATAATCCTGAGGTAACGTGTAAGTGTGATTCAATATGTATAAATTGTGCACCTGTTTTTTAGAATATGAGCAACTAAATTAACTATACATTGCATCAAAAATTCCAGGAATTTGTGAAGAGATTCGCTCAGAAAACAAATCTCTTGGCTGCAACTGTGATTGATGTTTTGAACATGTGTGAACAAGCACCAACAAACTTAATTGAAATAGAGAAGTTCATGAAGATGCAAGAAGCTGCGCAACAGTTAATTGGAGTTGGGAAGAAGAAAAGAGTGGTGAATGCTACACAAGAAACAGATGGTAGAAGTACCCAAGAGATAGAAGATGGTGAGTTCTGGGCAGAGACAATAAGTGCAGTTCAGAGGGTTGAAAATGCAAATGAAAAGAAGTCCTTGTACGAGAAAGGAATAGAAGAGATTCCAACATTTTCAATTGGGCTGACACAAGAAAAAGAAAACCCATTTCCAACAATATCAGAACTATGTGCTCAAATAGAAAAAGTAGTAAATGAAGATGCGCAGCCTGAAGAACAATGTGAACATCAAGTTGTTGTGTGGAATGTGACACACAAGGAGAAGGAAGCAGAAGTTCTTGTTGAGGTAATTATCTGGTAAATGTTATCATATATTATTATTATATAATTTTTTAAAAATTAATGAGTATTTTTGGAAAATGATTGAAGTTGCAGAAGCAAAACGTAAAAAGCAAGGCTGCAAACCATGAATTGGTTTTAGGTGAGAAAACAACTTATTTGAGGCCAAAGAGGGCAGGAAAGGCTACACAAGTATTCAAATCTCCTTTCATGTTAAGAGTTTTAGACCCTAATGACAAATCTAACCCAAATGAGAGAGTGATATGGAACTGGGTGATGCAAGCTGCTCCTGATAAGAGATTAAATAGAAAAATGGTTAAATTCTTTAAGTGTTATTAATGTTATGAACTTAAACAAATAATAATAAACTGTTTTTTTTTGTAATTTTAGGGATGAGATTGTTTTCAAATACAATCAAGTTTCAATCAAGCGAGGAGAGATGCTTAGCCTCGAGGAGAAAACCCACTTATGCATGAACGTGTTAGACGCCTGGACAGTGTGCTTGAATAGGAAAGACAAAACACGGAGTTCTACGTCACCGTGCAGATTGTTTGCGAAATCAATTCGTTGTGTAAGAATCTTAAATCACAAACAGAATTTATTGAATATTTATGTGCACCATAGAATCATTTCAGTGCACATTAGAATTCGAATATGTGCATTTGTTTGTAGTTGTACACAATGGATAACCCACTCCCTGAAGACCAAACATATGAAGTGTTTAAGGAAGGAATGGTTCTGGCATTGGAAGCCGTGAAACTGGATATCAAAATGGAAGATGTAGATTTGGTAAATTTAATATTTATATATATGTGCATAATTAGTTTAGCATGCATGTAAATATATACGTGTGTAACTGAATTATATTTTTGATGCAGTTCTTTTTCCCAATAGTGCAACCAAAGCATTGTTATGTTGTGTGTTTCCACATGAAGAAACAGATTGTTGAAGTTTTGACAACGTAGTCGATCAAATGCGGTTGGATGAAAAATATGGTGAAATGCCATACACACTGGTGAGTGTCTAAATAATACGCATCAACATCATAATATGCCCAACTTGTTTGAGTGACACATTTAAATTGTTTATCTTGCAATTATTTAAAACAGAGAGATATGTTTGTGGACTACTTTACTGAAGTGGAGCTTGATAATGACTCCAATACATTTTACAAGCCAAATCTAAAGAGATTGACAATGAACTGGAGAGAAGCTAATAATGTGCATGATTATGGCTTGTGGAGCATGAGGCATATGGAGACCTACATGGACAAAGGCGTCAAGGGTTGGGATTGTGGAGTGAAGAAAGGAGATGCAAAGGAACTGAGTGCATTACGAGTGAGGTATTGTGCAACACTCATCACATCAGACGTGAATGAGATGAAGGACAAGAACTTGGATGAAGTGAAGTCATTTGCGAAGGGGAAAAATATTAAGAAATAGATGTGAATTTGGGACTAAACAATTGTTTGATGCCTTGAACATTTGATTGCGTGAATTTGGGACTAATTATTGTGCTTGAACTTTTATATTGCGTGAGACGTATTTGTTTTTTTAAAAGGCGTGATGCCTTGAACATTTGATTTTGTTGGTTACCAACACAATTGGCGTTTTTCGAATATAATTTAATTTGGTTTAGACATTATTGTGTGACTTATATTATGATTTTATATGGTGTGGTGAATGCAAATATTTACGAAGTTTGTTCATACGAGTGCAATGGAAAAATTAAAGCACACAGGTATACATTATGCACAATGTATGAGTACACAGTCCATTTTTTTTTTATCCCGGAAGGCAAACCACCAAAATCAGTGGGGTAAATGTCGGGGGAACATTTACCAGAATTTACAAAAACAAAATGTTACAGGGGGGGCTAGGCCTGACCCATTAGATAAACCAAAATGAGAACAAAAACAAAAAGTTACAACAAGATTAAAATCTGAACGAAGGAAGCCCAAAATAGTCCATCTAATAGGCCCGTTTAGCCTTCAAAGGCAGCTCGCACGGATCATGGAAGACCCGTAGATTATCCCCTTGGGCAGCAACAATGAAGTGTGCAGCCCAGTTACCCTCCCTCAGAATGTGGCCCAGGTAAGCCTGTTTCCTAAACAGAATCTGTGAAGTTTCCAGAATGATATCCTTCCATCTTCTCGTATCCCTTCCGGCCAGATATTCAATCGCTAACGAGGAGTCCGATTCCACCGTCAACTCTTGATATCCTTGATCAATCACCAATTTCAACGCAAACACCAGAGCTTGGATTTCAGCATCTAACGCCGATGATGCCCGAATAGGAAAGCAGAAAGCCAACTCCATCTCCCCTTTCCGGTTCCGAAGAATCGCACCCCCATTAGCTCGCTCAGAGGAATAGCTAGCATCAATATTCAGTTTCCATTGCCGGGTAGGTTTCCGCCATCTAATAATCTGAGTTCTTGAAAATTCCATTGTAAAACCTTTAGGGATAAGAGATTCAGTGTATAAAGTATCCCCTATACTTCTCAATTTCATTCGTGATAGACTATAGACCCATCTCTGAGTATATAATTTAATATTTATGATAATCTTGTTTGAAGAAGTGTAAGATTCCCCCAGTCCCCAAATAATATGGGTATACGATTTCCAAATGTGCCAAAGAGTGATTCCCACAATGTTTTGCTGAAAAATTCCATATAAACTCCCCTTCTGAGGTTTAGGTCTCCAGGTTTTTAGAGAAGAGTAGTCCTGACCAACAATGTAGATGTCCAGTATTCCTAAAATGTATTGCCAAACCTACTTAGCAATAACACATTGAAAGAATAAATGATCCATAGTATCACAATCCTTCCTACAGTGAGGACAAATTGAGGGATTCAGCACTGCCCTAAATCTGCTCAATTTGTCAGTAATAGGAAGAATTCCCTTCACAATTTTCCACTGTAAAATCTTCATTTTAAGCTCTTGTTTAGTATTCCAGATTTGCTCATAAATATCAAAATTGAAAGATAATTCTCTAACTTCTTCAAATGCAGATTTGAAAGAAAATTGTCCATTTCCCTCTTCATTCCAAGTAAGAACTCCTGAAGTATCAGTAGATACAAGGCTAGATGCTTGCTCATCAATGGCACAAATCCTTCTCCAGACAGTCGAGTCAGTAAGTTTGGCTACCATATTCCTTCCCCTATTATACTTAACTCTGATGAACTGTGACCATAGAGTGTTTCCTGTTTTCCATTTCCACCATAGCTTAAGTGTAAAGGCTTTTTCAAGGTCAGAAAGTGATCTAATACCCAGGCCCCCTTCCATAGTAGGATAGCACAATTTTTCCCACTTAAGCCAGTGGTATTTATTTTTCTCACTAGTGGACCCCCAGAAGAAAGAAGCCATCTTATTATTAAGCACCTTAATAACCTTCTTAGGAAGACAGTCAACTGCTAAAGTATGAAGAGGAATGGCATTAAGAACATGCTTGATCAGAATAAGCCTCCCTGCTTGAGAGATATTTTTTTGTTTCCAGGGGGAGAGTTTATTCTCAAACTGCTTAATCAAACTACCACAGAATTGGAATCTATTAATTCCTTTATGAAGATTTACCCCAAGATATTTAATCGGCAAACTAGTAAGTTTCATTCCCAAAAGTTCCTTGATCCTATTCAATCTAGGAGTAGAAGTTTTGCCACTAATAATAGAGCTTTTATCACAATTAACTTCCCGACCAGAAACATCCTGATAAGAATTAAGAAACTTCTTGAAATTGAGAATAGATCTAGCTTCTCCATTAAGAAAAACTAGAAGATCATCTGCAAAACCCAAGTGTGAAATAGGGGAAACTGAATTTCCCATCTGATAGGGTTTAATCCTGCCAGTCTCAAACATATGTTTCAGTCCCCTAGAAAAAGCCTCAGAGGCAATAATGAATAAAAAAAAGGAGATAAAGGGTCACCCTGTTTGACCCCCCTTGAAGGCTTAAAAAACCCATGAGGTACTCCATTGATAAGAACTGAGAAATATGTAGCCTTCAGGTGATTCATAATCAGATTTGAAAATTGATTAGAGAATCCAAACTTGAGAAGAATATCTGAAAGAAACTGCCAAGAGACTTTATCAAAAGCCTTGGCCATATCAAGTTTGACCACCAAATTTGTACCCCTAGTCTTCTTATCAATATGGTGAATCAATTCCTGAGCTATTAGAATTTGATCAGCTATATCCCTGTTGGCCATAAATCCAGCTTGTTCTGGAGAAATAATTTTAGGAAGGATGCTTTTAAGTCTAGAAGCCAGAATTTTTGTAAAGATCTTACAAATAAAATTTGATAAGCAGATAGGTCTAAAATCACCAAATGTAGAAGCTTTGTCAGATTTAGGAATAAGGATAATTAAAGAGCTTGCAATAGCCTTAGGAATAGGCAAACCCAAAAAGAACTCCTGAACAGCTCTAACTACATCATCCCCAATAACATGCCAACACTTCCTATAAAATTTACCATGAAAACCATCAGGCCCAGAGGCACTGTTCTGATCAAGAGCCCACACAGCCTGTTTAACTTCTTCTGCAGTAGGTAGAGCAATCAATAGAGTATTGTCCTCTTGTGTAATCAATGAAGGGATATGAGACAACAGTCCATATGTATACATAATTGTGTCAGGGTGTTTTTCTTAAAAAGCACTGTTTTCATAATACAATGAAACTCCTTGGTACAAATCATGAGGTATTTGATGAATAACAATACATTTTAATTGATTAATTAATGTGCAAGTAAGTAAATTAGTCCAAGTGCAAACAATTTTTATTCCAAAAAAAGTGCAAAAAGTAATTTGAGATGAACGTAAACTACATTGTGATACGTATTGTGATGTTGAATTTAGAATACACGATTGAGTAATTTAAATACCGCAATAAATAAAATTAACAAATATTTTCAGGGTATCAATAACAACTAAGAACAAACTTATCAATGGGTACTAATTTATAATATTTGGTAATGTAAAACCAAAACAAAGAATTGCAACAATAAATTAAAAAGAATAATCATTCGTATGAGTTCAAATTACAATTACTAAAAGAATGGTCATTCATCAGAGTTTAAAGGACAATTCCTACTGTCATGATACCCTTTTTGATTACATGTTCTACATAATCTCTTAGTCTCCTGGCTCACTTCAATTGCTTTCTCCTTGCCACCTTTAATCCTCTTACCACAACCCTTATTTCGAGCCTGCTGAGGTGGATGCATGCTAAGTTGTGTAGGAATAGGTGACCCATAAAAGCCTTTGATAACATCACTTTTTGAAGTTGCTGCTGCACTACTTGGTTGAGAGCTAGACAATAATTCCTTTTGCACTTTAATGGCATCTGAAAACTGCTGAAACAAGTGAGGTTGATGCTCAATCATTCCAACACAAAAATGAATATCAGACCACAATGTCTTCATAGCTACTGTTTGTTCTTCAGTGCCAACACACTGTTGAAAAACACCATCTTCAAAAGCATTAAGGGGCTTTAGAATTGAATCGTTGCACCATCGACGTAGCACATATCTATCTGGAATTGCGTTGACCTTTTTATCTTTCAACACAAAAAAATGTGACGACACAATATGCTAATCCTTTCAAAATGTTTACAAGAGCAAAGTGTAGTACCGTCACTCGTATTGTGCACAACTGTGAAATGTAAAGCTCGTTCATCTGATATGACATACGTAAAAACACAACCCTCATGCTGGAGACTAAGAACGGCACAAGAAAAACAGGTGTAACATATTTCCTTCTGAACGAGATAAAAAATTGAATGATTATAAACAGAGGAAGCATATCTTTCAATGTGTAATGGAGTCTTGTACTCGGGGATGGAGGACTCAGAAACTTTGGTCAATTGTGCACTCTTATGTTGTTGAGAATCCATTGTACTCTCAAACTGCATAAAAAAATCAACCAAACTGAAATTAGGATTTGTGAATTCATTGAAAAAATTATTTTCGCTTTCAGAACGTGATGTAGTCCTAAGTAAACCCGCCATGAAAAGATCACAAAAATAAGCAGGAATCCACAGCCTCCTGATCTCAAACATGTGCGAGAACCAATTATGATCAAGTAGGTCATATTCTCTCATTATATTAGCCCATCTCATCTCAAATTCAGTTGGCTGCAAATAATGACTCCAGACAATAGAATTCAATTCCCTCATAAAATTTGAATCTTTACTCAAAACCGGACCAACTTTCGAACTCACCTTGGACATTATATGCCACATGCAAAATCTGTGACATGTTGTAGAGAAGACATGTGGAATAGCAATTTTCATGGATGGGTCTTGATCTGTTATGATGCACTTAGGTTCCCGGCCCATTGCATTTAAAAAACAACGAAACAACCAAGTATAAGATTCCACATCCTCTTTCAACAACAAACCCACGCCAAAAGTAATGCACTTTTTATGATTATCAACACCAGTGAAAGGGGCAAAAACCATGTTATACCTGAATGCATTAAAAAAACACAATAGTGCATTGACTAATGTAACAATGTGCATTATATAGTGCATTAACTAATTTAACAATGTGCATTAATTTTTATGCACAATGTAAAGGCTAAGAAAAACATAATTGTAGCATTAATAAAAATATAGGAAAAAATTAAATTATTTAAAGGGAATAATTAATTATAACACCAATACCTGTTTGTCTCATATGTAGCATCAAAAGAAACAACATCCCCGAATAAAGCATAGTTCTTTATGCACACTGGATCCGCCCAAAAAATGCGTGTCAACTGGTCACTCTCATCAACATCATACTCAAATGAAAAGGCTGAACAGATCTCTTTCTTTCTAAATAGCTTATCTATCAACATTTGGGCATCCACACCAACTAAATAAGCCTTCAAGTCACGTTTAAAATTCTTAAAATCCACGGACGTAGCACCAATATTGGCATAACCCCCAACAGTTTCCTTATACAATCGGTAGCATTTCATTGTACCAATGTTTGCTTTAGCACAATTCAAAAAAAAAAATTTGATGACCAATGTCAAGTTTCCTATTAACTTTTAAGAATGGCATCGAAGAAGCGGAAGACATGGAATGATTATGCCTCTCCTCAAAGAATGTAATTTTGTATCCATTCATGCATGCAAGCCTAAACACCACACGTGCTTTGCAATCACACCTATTAGAAACTGTGCGTCTTTTTTTGTCTTCATCATCAACACATACACCCGGAGTTGGTAAATCTTCAACGTCAGGTTGGTCTTCATTTGCAGATCCATCAGATTCACATAATTCATTTGCAGCAGTGAAGTCTTCATTTTCAGTGCTCAACTGATTATCTAAATCCGCATTCTTGCAAGAATCACTCTTAGATGCAACCGTCTTAGCTTTAGTTACATTTTTGAAACCATGTCTATTACACACCATATGTTTCCACACAATAACACCATCACGAGCCCTATGTTGACTGCTTTTACGTGATTCAAAACCACAAATTGATGCATATTGATCATAAAAACGCATACCATCATTTAAGTTATTGAACAACATACCAACATGCGGTTTAAAAGCAGGGTCACAAACAGGTGTCCAGTACATAGTGGATCCCGGAGAAACTTGCATTGTATTAACATCAAGTGATTGAGAAATTGCTGCAGAGGCACTAAAGTTAACGTCACTTGAACCTGATTGAACCATGCAGAGAAATAATTGACAAACACACACTTTAGCACACTGACTAAGGTATAAGTGCAATAACAAAACGCATATAAGAGCATCATAATAAACAATAAAGTGCAGAAGAAAAAAACAGAAATTTTAATATGAAAAAAACCCCATTTTTTAAAGATTGATATACACATTAACAAGGATTATGCTACACGCAGTAGACTGAAAGCGCAATATCCACACGAGTATGAATCATAATACTAAATATAGTGCACTAAAAAATAGTAAGAAATTCAGTTTGAACATAACACAATTTTTCAATCCATTATGCTTATACATCAGGAATCGCTAAACTACAAGCTCATCACGTTTACAATATTCAAACAACATAATAAATAATACGTCAAGATTCTACATTGCCAATTGCCATGTCCAATTTGTATAGTATGTCAATCCAAAAAATGATAATTTTTTGTTTTGTTAATATTATCCAAAAAATGATAATACTAACACATATATTCATCTTCTTCGAACATAAATCTTGGAGAGTTTAAACAATAAGCAAAATCAAATAAACAATACTTACTGGACTCCATGGAGGAACGATAGCCTGGAGCAGAAAACCAACAACGGATGGTAAAGAAAACCAAATACATTATGTTCAAACTCGACAAGGAAAATCAGAGCAACACAATCCGATCAAACAGTTTTCTACCACGATGAATTCCGATCAATACCTACGCACAAGGAGAGAACAACGAAGCAGGAGGAAGAAGGACACAGGAAGAACATATCTTAGGAAAGAATCGCGGAGAGACGGTTAAGGAAGGAATCATGCAGCGTTATTTTAGGAACTCTACCAACGTAAAAATGGTATTGACTCCAATGCCCTCTATGATGACTTAGGCGCACGAATAATTAGAAGTCAATCCAATGGTTGATACCTATTCTTTTTTGCTCTCCTAAGATTAAATTCTCACATGAACCTAAATATATATATATATATATATATATATATAGACACAACAGAAACTTTTTATTTAGAAGTCGAGACCCTCTCCAAGCCAGCCCTCTTCCTCCAGCCCTAGACACCAGGGAACAATGGCACGGTGCAAAGCGGCATCATAAGTAACAACTAATGGGGTGAGGGTAGTTCATCTTTTTAAGATATGAGCTAGGTCCTAGCAGGTGGAGCAGATCTATTAATTAAGGTAATAGGGGATAGTTGCCACCAATAACCTATGCTTAAAAAACTAACCCGACCCGGTCGACCCAGAACCCGCGAACCAGACAAAAATCGGTTTGGTTTGTTCAAAACTCAGAAATGATCAAAAATCGGAAAAACCCGGCTGACCCAGAAAAACCCGGCCCAGACCCGAACCCAAGAAACCCGATAAAACCGGGAAAAATCGGTTTTGGGTGCTTTTAAAAAAAGTAATTTCTTTTTAGTTTTAATGCATTTTTAAACCAATAAAATTGCAATTTCATTACCCTAAAAAGAGAAACTATGTAATATATTTATATATTTATTTAAGAACGAAAATTATGCCAAATTATAATATAAATGTATAATACAAATAAAAATATCATTATATATTTTTATAGGATCAAAATCATACTTTGAAATATTATGAGAGTGTATTAAATGCTTAATAAGTAGTATTGTTAGACTGTTAGTTGATTATAATGATTAATAACTTCTTTTTATTATAATTTTGTATATAATTATATGTTTATTATTATATAGACGTATAATCTTGATCGGTTTTCCGACATTGACCGGGTTGATCCCATGGGTCCGGGTTGACCCGTCACCCAGTCATTTGACCGGCTCGCTCATCGATCCGGTTTTTACGACATAGCCAATAACCACCAACTAAACTCATATAATATCTTAATAAATACGGAGTATATATTGGAAGTCTAAGAGTATCTACAATGCTACAATGTGCATAGTGCACATGTCACATAAGAGATAGCCACAAAAGTTTTAACAAATAAATTATTTTTCTCCTCATTTGAATGGTTTTATACAATTGTGATAAGTTTTTTCCACAATGTCAAGAAGACTGTCTAGATGTTGACATTCTAGTTGACATTGCAGAGAAACTTATTAAAACTGTATAAATCATTCAAATAAGGAGAGAGGTAATTTATTTGCTAATATTTATGTGGCTATTTCTCATGTCACATATCCAATTACATATTGTAGCATTGAAATTGTTTTAATAATTTGCTCCCAATAAAAAATTGATTTTCCCTCTATAAACAAGGTTCCACCAAATGAAGACGGCGAAGAAATTAGCCCCATATATGTTGTGCTTTGGGCGTTATTTTGAAATATTTTATCAACTTTATTTTGAATGTTAGTCTTATGGCGGCATATGTACTTGTTTAGTCCCGAATAGGTAATCCGTACGAGTGATTGTGTTGTTTATTTGTTTAAGACCGTACACTATTTTTAACTTTTTAAAAATATAAATATTAAATAATGTTATTAAACTTATTAAAATTTTATTGATTTATTAAAGAATTATTGATTTACACCAATTAGATTTAATTTAATTGACAACTTACTGAAATAGTTATACACTTATACATCTATTAGAGTATAATATTTTACACTATTGAAAATTAGAAAATGTCATTTAGTAAGTTAAAATTCCTAAATGTTAAATAAAATGAATTACTATGTGGTTGAGTCGATTGATTCCTTTCGTGAGTTTGATGCATCAAAGTTGATGAGATTGATTGAGTTTTATTCAAGTGACTTTAGTTGTGTGGAAAGTTGAACTCTTTAGTATAAGTCATCAAGTATTATATTTGTATTTACAATGTGTTAACAGATGAAAGGTTTGTTAGCTTGAAAAAGTCTTGATGAACTTGCACATTCTTTGGTGTATTAGATTCTAAAACAATCATTGACTTTGTTAGTTGTCACAACAACGTAGCAGAGAGCTGAGATGCTTCTCCGCTATGAAATAGCGAAGACAATTTGTATAATAAATTGGTGATAAATTTTTAAATGATCTTCTAATTTATTTTATCGAAGAGATGTGATTGAAACTACATCCCGAATCCGCCACATTGGCTGTAGAAATTATAGGAAGGAATGAATTGTATTCTGTCTTAACAATTCAAATGTACATGGGTATATATAGGAGTACAATGAGGAGATTGTGTGTAACTAACTATATAGGATAATATTTACATTTAGTTAAATCTAATTACATAAGATAAATATTATTTATGATTTATCTCCAATATGCCCCCGCAAGTTGGGGGGTCTGGGAAGAACTCCAAGCTTGAGATGAAGATCATGAAAACGACGTCGGGGAAGAGGCTTTGTGAGTGAATCAGCAAGCTGATCTTCAGACCGAACATGAGAGACACGAAGAATACCGTGTTGAACATGTTCACGAATGAAGTGATAGTCAAGAGCAAGGTGTTTCATACGAGAGTGAAACACAGGGTTAGCGCAGAGGTGAGTGGCACCAACATTGTCACAATAGATAGCCGGCTGAGTAGGAATAACAACATGTAATTCAGTGAGAAGCGAGAGTATCCATCGAAGTTCAGCAGCGGTAGTAGCAACTGAGCGGTATTCGGCCTCGGTAGAGGAACGAGCAACCGTGCGTTGCTTTCTAGAGCTCCAAGAGATAGCATTTGAACCCAAAAATATGACAAAAGCTCCAGTGGAAGTGTAATCATCAGGATTTCCGGCCCAGTCCGCATCAGAATATGCATGCAAGGATAGAGGTGAAGATCGGCGTAGTAGAAGGCCATGAGTGGCTGTGTGGCGAAGGTAACGAAGTACCCTCTTCGCAGCTTCCCAGTGTGTAGTGGTAGGGCAGTGAAGAAACTGGGACAACTTGTTCACTGCATATGAGAGGTCTGGCCGAGTGAGAGCGAGATACTGGAGACCACCAACAATGGAGCGGTATTCTTCTGGATCTTCATGTGGCTGACCGTCTGTAAGGCTGAGTTTAGAGTTGGCAGCGAGAGGTGTGGTCACACCATTACATGTAGCCATTTTCGACCGAGACAGTAGGTCCATGATATAACGGTGTTGAGAGAGAAGAATGCCACTTGGATGAGAAGTAACCTCAATACCAAGAAAATAAGATAATTGTCCAAGATCTTTGAGAGAGAACCGGTGACCAAGAGTAGTGATGAGAGCTTCAATAAAATCTGAGGAACTGCCAGTGATAACTATATCATCAACATAAACAAGAATATAAATGAGAGTAGTATCACAATGATAGACAAATAGAGAAGTATCCGCCTTGGAGTTTGTAAAACCCAGTTGAATAAGAAATTGTTTGAGTTCTTGATACCACGCCCGGGGCGCCTGCTTAAGACCATATAGTGCTTTGTGGAGACGACAAATATGATTGGGTTTGGTGGAGTCAACAAAACCAGGAGGTTGAAGCATAAAAACATCATCATAGAGATGGCCCTGCAAAAAAGCATTATTAACATCAATCTGGCGGAGCGGCCACCCACGACTGACCGCAAGAGATAGGACTAGTCGGATAGTTGTCGGTTTAATAACCGGACTGAAAGTTTCCGTGTAGTCAATGCCAGGGCGTTGATGAAAGCCCTTGGCTACAAGCCGTGCCTTATACCTGTCAATAGTACCATTAGGAAGTCGTTTAACACGAAATACCCATTTGCAACCAACTATATTTTCTCTGCCAGTACGAGGAACCAAAGTCCAAGTACCATTTTTTATAAGAGCATT